CCAACATAGACGTGAAGGGCTGGAACCTTCATATATAAAAATTGATTCCTGTGCATGGGAGCCTTTCTGGCGGAGCTGAAAATAAATTAAAGTTATTCCAGCCACATTTTAGATGTTTGACTTTTTCGAATTTCAAATATCTATTACAATATTATTTGTTGGGTTACACAATAGTACGACCTGTTAAAACTAACCATTCGAACACTGAACAAACACACCCGCATATGAGAGTTTTCTTTTCACGGAAAGTCCATTGTCTCTATGTCAACACATCCTGTTTATTTCACCGGCTCTATATTAAACGGTAAGAGAGTTAAACCAGTGCAATAACAATCCTACATAAATGCCCAGATCCGAGTTTATTGCATGGTATCTCTTATTGTGCTGTTAGTTTAGATGCAATTGTGTGTTATCCTATGTATTCAATCTTTTTTGAGGGATAAAGGATGGGTCGCTATTTTGTCTACTTCGTTTATTTACCCCCTTTTCATATTGAAAGAGTAATGTCGAAAATATGAGATGCTTACCCCGAAAATAAAATCACGCTTCGTGACTTTATTTGCTCAGAAATAAGGTACAAAATTATGTAATTGTAAAGGTACGAAATGGGGAATATCTATCGTTCGGTTATATCGATTCAATTTTGTAGAAGGCCATCAGTTATCTTTTGAGGAAAGTTATCTTTTGAGGTCTATAATATTTTTTTTAGTACAATATGACACAACTTTTCATTCCTTTACTTATACATTCTTTAAATTATTATTTATTAAGGTTGTCATATTTTTATTACTTTATTTTAGTGTTTAGTTTGTTAATGAAGATTGCTTCCGGCAATGAGAAAGATAAAGAGAGGGAATGGCAAATTGCGCGGCAAAAATGGTTTGAAACTATTACAATTATAGAAGCTACATAATGTTTCACTTTATACTAACGATTATTGCAACAAATGGGGAAAAGATAGTGAATTTTTTGTTAAAACATTGTGTGCGTTTCTATTAGAATCGAATCTAGAGAGATGTTGTTTTCACATTTTTAATTAACAGCTTATTAGGATGTTATTTCGCTCTATCAAACCAGATGAAAGTCCGTGGTTTTAGGTGTACACGCCCTCTAACCTTCTATGGTATAGAATATGTTAAGTTTTGTGACTTTATAGAGTAAATTGTATCCACTTATTGAAGGTTCTATTTTTCTTTATATCCTACTAACATCATAAAAGCAGAAGTATGTAACGATGAATGTATATTTGTTGTATTTTATTTTAATTTATCTTTCACGCCAAAACTACAAAACATATTTAGATGAAATTTACCTACACATAGTGGCTGCTTTTTAGCCCAAAAATAGTTCCCTAGGGAAGGTTAGTCTTTGGTTAGTTTTGAGAACTTATTAGCATATTTTAAACCTATAAATAAAGTTTTAATTTAATTAATGGTCATGTTACTATAATGCCTAATGTATTTATTGTAAGACACACATAAAAGATATACATAACATATATACAAATAGCTAACAACCAAATAAAAGACAAATATTTCACTATAAAGAAGCAAACAGACCGCCAGTGAACCGCAATAAATAACGATTCTTCATATTGATAGATGATTTGGACTTAATATTTATTCATGTGATACAACATGCGAAGTTACTTTGTTTTATACATGTAAGTCGTATATTCAGTAGCTACTGAATATATCAAACTAAAACTGCATATCTAATATCCATAGATATTCGTAGTTATTCACAAATCATATTTACTTAATCAATGTTAAGACTTTTGGACCTCTTTTTACAAAACTTGCGTGGATGAACGAAAAATGAAATTTGCAATAAAAATCTATGGTTGTAATATAAGTTTGGCTAATTTTCAATATTTTTGAGTTTCGAACAGCGCCTTGTTTTAAGGGCGTCGTCATTTGTTTTTTTTTTGTTAATATTCACATCTTGTCTATTTTTTGTATTGGTATTTGTACGCCAACTACAACTAGCTATTTTATAGTGTCTTACATTACTCCACCTGAATTGAATTTGAAACGATTCGTACTGATTCATAAGCGGATAAGGTAAGGGAATCACGTATTCATGCCAAAGTTTTGTTCGCAACATTCTGCTGAGTCAGACGGAGTTTATCAACGTGTCGCCATCAGTTTCACACCTGTTACGTATGGACTGTAAAAGCAACACGTTGAAGCGACAATGTTTTTTCCATTAAAACAAAGCTGTGCCGTCTTATTATAAAACGAGGATTAACTTTAGTAGGAGAGCGGAAAGCTAGTTGTAACAGGGTAGGCGGTTAATCTAGCAGTACTGTTCTAATAAATAATTGATTTCAAATTAAATTTTAACCAATTTTAAACATGTACCTAACGAGTTTTTGTAAAAACAGCTTATGAGAAAAACTGACGAATTTTACAACTTACCTCATGATTGAGGCTAAAGGTAAATTGTAATACACGTTAACTACTGATATACCTCTACATTTCAAAATTGTATAAACATAAGTATGTATGTTTAATATTTTCTGATACCTATCTGAAACCATGAGCATTTTCGCTTCAAACGTCTTCTTTATCTAGGTTTTTTGTAGCGTTTCGCTATGTTTCGTCATTCACAATATTGCCAATATACTTGGAACTGAGAATATCCTAAATCCTACGAGTATTTCAACCGAGACGAATCGAAATGTCACACTAGGTGTCTATTGGATATATTGGTATTGTAGTAAGCGGAAAATTGAGGTCTCAATATAGCGATATAACATGATACCTGTTTAAGTGATATACAATGAGGTTTCTGCACTTATGCATTGAAAAACCCTGTTAATTAACTACTGAAAGAAATAGTCAAACTTTGTTAATTGGAATTTGGTTTTGTAGATTTTCGATATTGAACTCTATATTCTTTCTCTCAAGATTTTGTTACCCAATGAACCCAGTGAAACAATTACATTTTAAGTTATAATTTGCACGAATTAACATGATACCTATTTATCCTCGAACGAAAATCAGGAATGTTTCGAATGTTTCGAATCTTATGAATATTATCTCTGAGTTAGAGGCAGTGTCAGGCCCTACCTCCGTTACATAGACGAAGTTTCGTTTTCAGAGCAATAGAACTGGCCATCATTTTAAACATAATATAGCGGACAGTCCAAGATGGCGGCTTTTGAAATTTTTGTAAATGATATGATATGGGTATCAATAAAAAAGATTTGCTAAAAAAATACAAAAATAATGCACATATTTCATTCCAAATCCAGCTCTAGTGTACATTATATGCACAAACCCACTATTCTCATTATATAAGTTCAAATAAAGCGTAATTAAATACAGTATAATCGAAGTCAGTTGCATAATTTACACACCCGAATAACACTGTCCAGCAGACAAGATGGCAGACCAGTTACTATGTCTAATGTCTAAGCATTTTTGAAATCCTTACTAAATACTATCAAAGATATATTACAAACAGGAAATTGTGTTTTCAAGTGAAATTACCTCAGTATGACCGAGAGCTAATTATTTAGCAATTTTTATAATAGAAAAAGAATAACATATCTAATAATAAGAGGAAATTGTCACAGAATTTTAAAGGTTTGTATATCGAAATAGTTTTTTTTTGTTTTGAATATTAATTACTTCCCTATTCACTTTTTGATCTATCTTATTCACAATTTTGATTATTAAATTACTTTTTTTTTCATAATTACTTTTGTAATTATTGATTTGGTATAGAGGGCGCCGCTTAATATGCAAAGATTTATGTTGAAGCCAATAACGGTTGTGCGGGAAATCTACGGTATGGTTGACGTTGGTGACAAGTTTATTGGTGCCGCTGAGTGATTTATTATCTACTATTTTCGACAAGGTTTCCTTTCGGTCCCATTATTTACTTTTATACACATATGTAAATCGAATCGAAGTTTTAATAAGTGCAAAATCTATCATTCATCAATAGTCAGTAAGTTTATCGCAAAATAACAAGCTTAAGATAAATACTACTACTATAAGCAAATATTGTAAAAGGTTTTCATGTGTTATATATATTTGATTAATATACGTATTATAATGTTTATATGATTAAATCTTTAAAAAAAATGTCGTTATGAAGTATGCATACAAAACTTTTTGTTAGATATATTTGATAGAAACTCTATATTGATTTACCAAAAAAGATCCATGGAATTTTAATGATATATTATTTGTTTTTTTTTATTTGTCAATTAAATCAAATTATAATGTTGTAGTGATAATTCAATTAAATGCAAAGGGATTGATCTCATTCCGTCTATAAGTAACATTTATTTTCTGCTTCCACTAAAGGTTGGTGCTTATAGTTTCAACGTTACTTTTGAGTTTTGGGGACTAATCGAACGGTGTAGGAGGAAGCAAAAAACCTTTGTGTTCTACAAAGTCTGGGAAATAAATTCTTAGCGCAAAACAATGGAGTATTTTGGGGCTCTCCCCAGACTCAGCCCCTCGGAACCCCTCGGAAGGCGATCCGTAAAACAGCTAGAGTCTGCTAGGTACCAGGGTAGCATAACTGTAAGTAAGTAAACCGCTTTATATTAAATGAGGTTTGTATATTCTTCTGATGATCATTTGCTGTGAATGTAGTGCAGTAGCGCTCTATTCTCTTCGTTGAGAGTCTTTACCCAAATTATGTTTCAGTACATTGCCATACTGCGGACAACATCTGCATACAAGCAGTCTTCTTTATCGTGCTTCAAAAAGTGTGTTTATGTCGTTATCTCGATTGTATAAATAGTATTTATATTTTGCAGATTATTAGAACGTAAATTACACAATGGAATCCAATATTTATATACGGTATACTGAACTGAACTGATGGAAATCAATTCTCACGGTTATAGTACGGATTGCCAAACATCCTTGTTTAGAGTTTAAACTTTACAAACATGACATACAATTCGGTCAATTATACACATTGCTAGTGACAGTCCATATGCAACTATTGCTGTTTAATACAAGGTGGTTAAAATGGATTTTATGCGAATTTTTGTTCGACTCTATAATGTTAGATTGGTAAGCGATAACATATATCTTAAATGTATACTAATATTATAAATAGGAAATATTTAATTTGATTAGGCTTCAAAAATACTGGACCAATTTAAATAATTTTTACACCATGTGAGGAATTAGACTATACCTTGGGCGGCTGAAATCGCTAGAAACAGCTAGTTTAATATAAAATGAATAATTAACAGCAATTAGTATTAGTAACACTTCAAGTAGAAATAAATAATCAAATCTCGGGCACCAGAGATTTATTCAAGTATTTTCTTCAAGATAAATATGAATAGCATCGTGAAAACGATGATTAACCGAATATAAATCTAGCAATCGTAAAAAGACCCCTATTCGTAAGAAGTCAACTAAAACAAAATTAAAATAAACTCTTAACTTCATAATGGTTAGTTGAGCGCAGGATTGCAATGGTCGCGCTTCAAAAAGAAAAAATAGAACTTGCGCTTTTTGTTTTCTCTACGCTTGAAAAAGAAAAAATGGAAACTGTATGGGTCCGTCAGTTCGCTTAAATATTCATTTATTAGACTAGATTGGTAGTCTGTAACTCTGTAAATATTAAAATTAATCTTTATATATATTTATGTTGTGTAGATGTGCGCAACATAAATATATATAAAGATTAATTTTAAAGATGAGGCCCTTTTTTGGGGGGTAAAATTATTAGAAATTATAACAAAAAGATTAGCACCTTATTTTTTATGTTACATTCAAAGTATTTAAGCACCTTTTTGCTAAAATACCTCGAATGTATCCATATGCAATGTATGCAAATATTCATTTATTTCCTGATCTCAGTCTATTGGGTCAAAAATTATAAAGAAAATACATAAAGGATATAGTCCTTGATCTACAAAATAAGTATATAAAATTTTTAATTTGTGGAAACTCTATGTGAGAGCTGCTCTTGATAGTTTTAGAAAATATCTTTTCAAAAATAGCGAGCCGTTTCCAACGATGTATTTGTAAACCAACCTTCACGTTTTTCAGCTGTCAGTATTTAAATTGGATTTCAAATGATTTTGTGTTCTGATTACAGATTTTCGTAACTCTATTTGTAATAAGCTTGATGGCTAAAAACTACAGTTTCCCAATAAACAATGGATTCAGTTTGAAGTTAAATTCGTTTGCAGTCAATGGTGATGGGAAAATTAAATCGTTCGGTGGACTTTTCAGTAAAATACCAAAAGAGATAAACAATAAGCAGGGTAAAATTGATATTAGCAAAACTTATTACCCTAGCCCGCCGGAGTTATTAGGAGTTGGTTGCACAAATCAGGTGGCTAAAATTGTTTTAACAACAAAACTCCTGAATGAAGGTGATGACGAACAAACATCTGATTATAGAAACATTATAAATTTACCACTATTAAAACAACCATTTGAAAATTACAAAATATTAGTGGCCACTGCTCCTGTTAATTTAAAGATGAACAGTGATAATGACCCGATGCTCATATACATTGTATTCTCAGATGACGAAACAAAAGAGAGTGGTCCAAAAAACATACCAAACGTATATTTCGTTAATAAACATGGTGGTAAATTGGAAATCAGCAAAAAGGAGAAGGCAGGACCTATTATAGTCATCGACAGCAATCGTACTATAACAGGATTAAAGAGCAACGAGATAGAAAAATTTGTGAAATTCAAAAATAAATTTGATCGACGACATAAATATTATATTACACGATAAGTATACATTTTGTTGTTACATTTAAATGTGTCATTCCTTAAAAGTTTGTTTTATTAGAGTTTTTGAATGTTTGGGACTATAGCTTAAACTTACTTCAAATTATTACAGGTATGTTAGCTAAATTCATTAAGGTCAGAGGGAATATAGGTTCTTTCTGGGTAAGGTTTACAATTTGTGGAAATCATTCGTGCATAGAGATTAAGAGTCTATTAGTAATAAAAAAGAAATAATTTCTTTTAATGTAAGTTTTGATAATAATAATAATTAACCAATAAGTTTAAAAGCTTTTGTTATAGTGCATAACCTTAACAGTTGAAACACTTCAAACAATCAATACATTAGGACTGACCTTTCTATTCTATTAACGGAAGTGTAGTAATTTTATCGAAAGGTAATAAGCCTGAAATATCTTTAAAACATTTTGACCATTATGACGGATTTAGAATTCATCATCAGCTCATTGATGTCCCTAATGTTGGGACTTAGGCCTTCCCTATGGATGGAATTGAATCAAATCGAAAAGGGAGAATGAGCCATGACTCATCATTAGAACTCAGTGCGTTTTCGTGGGTGTTAACGACTGCAAATGAAGCCCGGACCAACGACCGGGCTTCATTTGCAGTATACTTCACGTACTTTTCGAAGCACGTAGCTTGAGATTGACAAATTTTTGGTCACTCATCTTATGTCCAACAATTGCGAAAGTTGCTTAATTACCGTATGGAAAACCAAGCGCGAAAGCCACTGCGCCATCGAGCTCCTCAATTAAATAGGATTTTATATTTGCTTCAATCAAACCGAGGTGACGACATGTTTTTACAATATTCATCTCAGTTCAATGGGGTTGCGTTCACAAAGTGTGTTATAGTCATTACAACCCGATCAATCGAGATATTTTTCCTTTTAAGGCTGAGAATCAACTTGATATATTTGTTGGCTACCTTCCATGTTATCTGTTATAGAGTTATGTAGGTCAAGGAGCAATACTTTTTTTTTTCGCAATAATAAATTAAGATTTAGAAATAAATTCTATAGGTTATAGGTATTATAATTATTATTAATCAATAATTTCAATTGGAACAAGCGTGATCATTGGTTATGGTTAATATTTTATTTAATAACTTCGTACCATTGTACAAAACTAAACAATATGCGGAAGCAAAGGAATATACCAATTCCGTGAAATAGAGTTTTATTGTTGTATTCATTAGGAATACGCGTCAAAAACAATTTAAAACCTTTAAAAATGTAAACTAAGTGATATATATATTTATATATTTTTCTTACAAAAAAAAATACGAATAGAATCAGAAAAAAAAGGGTTTGACGTTATTTCTTGGTACTAAACCAATTTTTGTTGTACGCGTTCTGTTAAAATAGTCAAGGTTATAGGATAGTTACACACGCATGGACTGTATTACATAAAAATATACGCCGTCAATATAATAATTTTCGTTTTTTTTTTTGTATGAGATCGCGATAATATTAAACAATAGAGCGATATATATGGAATACCGCAGTAAAGAGGCATACATAAACACGTGCTATTATTGTAAGGAGGCCGTTGATAAATGACGGGGTGGAGGAATCGGAGGCGCTGCCGCACGCCCTGCGAATTAAATTAGTGTTGATCAATTGTGTGGTATGTTACGTTTTACTAGCAAAATAGCTTTATTAGTTAATAGAATATTTTCTAGAAATGCCATGTGATACTGTGCATTGCATTTTTTCATTAAATTCAATAGGTAAGTATGACTTCTTCCTTGTGGTTCTAAGATACAATGACAAATTGTCTCCTCCGAGTTATTCGCACGCCGGTTTCAAGCTCCCCATCTCTGAGATCCCTATTTGCATTTAGTGTTGGCCGTATGGGGGAATTGCTTCTGGAAATGGAATGTAAGAGCCATATGTTCGGCTTAAAGATTAATCGCAATAATACAAAGGTGATGATCGTAGATCGCGCAATAAACATCTCGCCTGAGATCACTCAGATTGCAAACTGTGAAGGAGTAACCAAATATGTATATTTGGTGGAGTTAACTTCAAGCGATGGCGTTGGCGTTAACAAGAGCTGTAATGGCTAAGTTGATATAAATTTGGAAGAAGTACATCACTCGAGTCATTAGAAACCGTCTAGTACGCACACTCATATTTCCCATTTTCTTGTATGCTGCACAGACGTGGACGCTGCGAGATATTGTGAAAAAGAAAATAGATGCTCTAGAAATGTGGTGTTGGAGACGAATGCTTGGGATATCTTGGACAGAATTTCGTACCAATATCTCTATACTGCAAGAACTTAGAGTCAAACGGGGCGTCTATCTAATCTTGTACAGTGTCCTGACATTATTTGGCTGCATCTCAAGACATAACAATGTTTCTATAGAGCGTCTCGTCATCCAAGGTAGGGTAGAAGGGACCAGAAAGCGCGGGCGATCACCGATGTGATGCACTGACCAAATAAAATCGATGGTGGGTACGCTTCTACACAAGTGCTCAAAGTTGTCGATTGACAGGGAGAGATGTCGTAAGGCGAGCTATATTGGGCAGCAGATAGCACAGTAATTCGTGTTAGGAAAAATGTTGCTGACGTTTGGCATAGGCACGAAAATAAATCTGCAGAGTGTGAACATGCCTTTAGAGGACTCAAGCATTACGTAAGATTTGACAACCCAAAAATACTTTTGGCTCAACACAAAATCATTCCTAGAATGATACTCGAGGCTATTGAAATTAAAAAAAGATCCGAATTTTAATAGAGATGAAGGTTGGCATATACCACTGGCTTGGGATCCAGTAATTAGTCAATTAAAATCTCAGTCCAGATCACACATTGCAAAACCAAAAGATACACTTAGTTCAATCTGTAAATATTAAATGAAGGGGAGCAATCCACTTTTTCTTGTCGGAGTTTGTTTCGCCAGTTCTCAGACAAGACTCCCAAATTTGGAACTGGTGGTGGGTTACGGTAACCAGGGGTAAATAAATAAGTAAAATGTATTTTTAAAATAATTCAATTTATTCTTAATAAAAAGTCCCTGCCCATCTCAGGGTCTCATTAAAAATATTTTTCAGTATGGCATCGTGAGTACGAAATTGATCAAATATAATAATTTAATAACCGTAAACATTGCCATTTTTTTTGTATTGTGAATGTTTTTAATAGTTTTGGTTTTTGAAGGTAGCTCTTTTTAGGACCCTTACAGGTTGCGTGAACACGCAAATATGGATAGTGCGCGTGAAAATATCAGAAATCAATTTAATAATACCTGTTATAGACACTTAAAACGTGTACGACTTAATATAAATTTATTTGAGATATAAAATATTAGGAAAGTTCTCGTGTAAAAATAAAAAAACATGGACAATTCATTTTTTTGTTAAACATGTAATTATGTCACCGTAAAATTACAAGCATCGTCAGTTTCTAATTTAACTAGAATTATTATAACATAACCTAACCTAAACTTATAATAGATAATCTACCGAGAAATCATAAACTCAATATATTTATAAATTTTGCTTTACCTATTTTTCATAAATTGTGTTATATTAGTTATACCTAAGTATTGTAAAAACTATAAAATATTCTATCTACCATAATACTTATTTAAAACATATTAATATAATTAGCTTACTTTGACCTACTCTTATGATCTTGGATGTTTTTTTTTTCTAACGAAAAGGTCAAAGTCAAAAGCCTATAACTGTTATGAAATTTAAAACGACTTTTATAGGTAATAGTGATATATTAATATTCATAGCAATGTTATAGTTATCGTTCAAATCCGTCAGAGTTAACAAGTTATTTGAGTGTTTATTCCTTTCATAATAAGGGCTAAAATGAGTTGGAAACGAACGTGGGTCAAGCAAGATGATAGTCGATTTATTTAGATATTGTGCGTGTCATGGTCAAAATGCATTTTGATATTGAAATGGAAGTATAATTTACAAGTTCAAGAAAATCACGATGATGAAATGATGTTTGGAAGTATAAATTAATAGTGTTGTAATGAATAGAATAAAGTTTTATCATACCGATTGTATTTAATAGTTTTCGGTTTAAATTGTTTTAATTGTTGTAATCGTTTTAAATAATAATTGATTGTGGAAATAGAAACGAAATTCAAATAGTTCGTAATGAAAACTATAGAGTGGATACATTTTAAAGTATAGTAATTTGGCCATGATAATGAATAATTTATGCAATATTTTTTTACTAGCGCTGCAGTGCTATTGCTAGTTAGAAATACAGCGTCAATCGCAGCGTCGAGTACAGCACTGTCACAGACAAAACTAAATAGATATTTGAATATTAGCAATTGTTAAATAATGTAATACAGATTTGTTTAGATTAAACAACATAAATAAGTCTGTGGATGAAACTATTAGAGAATATTATTTATAACTAACGGCTTTGCTCGTCTTCTTCTTGAATCACTCTGTACATTTACGAAAACAGCATTCATATCCGCAAATAAAAGACCAAATATCACAGCGTACAAACAACAGGAAGCGACTTTGTACATGTCTAGAAGATTCACAAATACTGAAATCTTTGCTATTTATAATATTAGTATAGAAAACGACTTTTAAATCGTTTGAAAATCAATTATTTCCTTATGATTTTTTGATAGCATGAAGCACGATTAGTAAGAGTTAGATATTGTGTAGTAGATATTAATTAAAAAAAAATTAACATAATGATGTTGTAACTGTACACTGTTTTAAATGATCACTAGTTAATACACACAGTGCTATTAATAAACAAGGTTTAGCGTCAGAGTAAATTGACGCCAAAATTACAATTTTATAATAAGTACAGATTCATATTAAACAGAGAAAAAGCAAACCCAACTTCCTTCTAGGATTAAATATTACACCCGTAGAACCTTTTTTTTTATTTTTTTTGACGCCCGTAGAACCTCCTACTAGGTTAATCTCAAGTGCACTCGTAACGTAAATTTACTCCAACGCAAAATCTTGTTTATTAATAATAC